ATGGACTCAAAGACAAAAATGGTGTTGAGCCGCCTGAAATAAGGAGGCGACTTAATTGGCATTTCTTGTTATGGCTGTCTCTACTTGTTAGTGCATTATTTCTATCTCACCTAGACACATAAATCACATCAACTTAACCAGACGTGTGTATGACTTTGTACAATCGAAATGATTGTTAAAATATGTGTATAAAGATGGGGTGATAGTGTTAATCAAACCTTGATAGCCATGAACTGACTACTTTTTCCGTTTTAATTATTTTGAGCCATCAAGGCTGTTTTCGCATGTTTACGAGCACAGCAAATCACACAAATGAGCACAGAGACACACTCGCATGGTTCGAGGCTTACAATGAACTTTATACCACTTTATATTTCATCAAAGAGCTTAGATTTTGGGTATATATTTATATATACAGTATTTATGGATGAGCCGGTGAGTTTTCTTGACTCACTATCTTGAATATGGTTGTAAGAATGATGATGCCAGTCATACGACGGAACAAAGCTTAGCATGTTTTCACTGGAATCGACGGAGCTTGCCTCGTAAACAACGTCTGCAATATTGTTTCGATAGAACGAATTGACAGCTTGTCAAGAGCAATCCACTGTGGTCTTCTGTTAGGATCCACCTCCGAATCTCTTCACCAAACACTTTCACTCAATTCCTTTCAACGAATGCCTATTCGCCTAGAAGACAAAGCCAGCAGACTGAACTGAACATCTCATACAAATGGATATTCCTCAAAATCCATCTTCACTTCACACAGCCCTAACTGCATCTGGCCAAAATCGCTCATACCCCGATTCGCCTACATCATATGCGAGTCGCCAAAAGTGGGCAAATATAACGAAAGCCAACTCACCTCCGGAGCGAGGTACCGTGGTGTCCCAGCTTGCAGACCCCCGATCGGCCACCAGTCGGGCAGATCCGCCAGACTCGGGTCAGTCGACTCCGACCAAACTGGCCGTCCAGCCTCAGTCGAGTCGAGGGAGTTGGGTGGCCTAGCGGGAGAAAGAACCCTGGCAGATCCTGTTTGCCAGCCGTTGACCGTCTCCCTGGGACCTAAAGGTTGGCACAACTCACAGCTGTTGCTAGGGTGCCTGGGCTCGACAGATCCCTTCAGTTTGCCAAAGCCTTTGGGGCAGTTGTGGGACTCGGAGGTTGTGTGATGCTGTGAAATCGCCGCTGGAAGCGCTGTCTCTCCGGCTCTCAATGTCTGGAAGCATTTGATGAAATTCGATTTCAGACTGTTGAAGTTACTTAAACCCGCCCTGGACCGCAAGGTCTGCTTCTAAAATGTGCATAAAAGCATCAGAAGACCATTGAATTATAAACTTATGAGTATTAACAGTTGTTTCACATAATTCAACATTATTTGCTAGTTTTGCTGATGAAATCAAATGTCCTATTAAAGAATTACTGATAGTCGCCAAGACTACTCACATTGAAGACAGGTAATGTTGTCAATTGCAATCGCAAACACATATTTGCTCCATCGACAATCCCATTATAAATGTGATTTGTAATTTAAATATAAATTTTATTATTCTTATTTCCCACTCAAGAATTACTGAGTCTCAAAACCTACTCATTTTGAAGGCAAGTAGTATATTCATGTTCAATTTTAAACTGACATTTACCCAATCGACAATCTAACTAGTATTGTGGTAGTGTAATTGAGTGGAAACCACTTAACCAATACACGCATAACCCGGTATTGAATCATGTTGGTAGCACTGAAGAGATGCTGATAATGTTGGCGTGTCATTCAACCTTTTATGAGGCAAAACCAAATGAACTTCAGTGGTATTGTGAGGCACACTCAGCTCATCGTTGGAATATTGAACTTTTAGTCCCTAAATCACCTAAAATGACCTAGGAAGACTAAGTGCTTATTTAACATTTTAATTGTTATTATTAATTACTTCATGAAGTTCTTAGTTATTGAAATAATGAAGTTCGAACTTATTGATTGTACTTCTTCACTATCAACACTTTCTGGAAGAAATATTCCCTCTTCAGGTTCTGCAAGCATAATCATTTTGCTTCTCCTCAAAACTCATTTATATACAAGAATTGTTTAATTTCTGAGCATATTTGTTTCTCGTCTACCTAGAGACTCTTTTATTCACCGTATCAATCATTGTTTGTAAATAAATGAGACATATATTCGGATATCGTTCATCCCAGTTTGTTCAAGGTGATGAAGGACTGGTAGAAGTAGAATTTTCCCACAATGATATCTTTATGCCTCCTGTTTCCATTGAAGTTCACATAGTCCTGTTTCACAAAGGGTTTTCTCATCCAGGCCAAAGTGGACCTCGCCTAGGTCTCAGCAGCACTCTCGGCAGCGTATAATCTCGATATTTCAAGCACCACGTCACATTGCCACGTGTGATTGTGAGTCGTAGGACAGCATTGAATTTCAAGCAAGTTTAGGCTTTTCCCATAGGATTTTTATGTAGTGGGATTGTCGACGAAGCAGTTCTTATATCATGTCTACTAGGAGTCTCGAAATCCTATTGATAAACTGAAAATAACTATAAGATGCATTCACCCAATTTCGTTTAAGGTGATGAAGGACTGGTAGAAGTAGAATTTTCCCACAAAT